TTGGGGAAGGAAATTTCAGAAAGAAGAAATTTCAGAAAGAAGAACCACAAATTCTACAATTTCTACAAAAAAAACGCTACAATTCGCCCCACCCCAACTGTCCCAAGTTTCCTTTACCTGAGTTCCAAACCAACTGACAGGCAAAAAGTGAGACAGAGATGGGGTTAAAAATATCAGCTTTCTTACTGGCCAGCCTGGCTCAGTAGTTGAGCATCCACCAAGGAACCAGGAGATCCCTAGTTTGGTTCCTAGTCAGGGCACTGCCCTGGTTGCAGACTCCATCCACAGTAGGGGCCATGCAGGAGACAGCCAATCAATGATTCTCTCTCATCATTGATTGTTTCTATCTCTCTCCCTCTCCCTTCCTCTCTGAAATCAATAAAAATATATTTTTACAAAAATCAGCTTTCTTCCTATTAAAAGCTGAATCAGAGGTCATGGTTTAGATGGGGGCTAAAATAAAATTCCTAAGTCTGAATCCTAGAACAGGGCTTAGCCTCAAGTCCCAGGCTGCTCTAGTCAACCACACATATAGCCCACATCCCCAGGCTGCTGTCCCTTGCACTGGAGCTCAGAGGAGCACAGAGCTCTGGCCCCTCCAGCAGGATCTGCTCAGGGACACCCACCAAGGAGCAGACTCACCTTCACAGAACTCCCAGCTTCAGAGTCTCCCCAGGAAGAAGGGAGGGCAGGGGGGCAGAGTCCTGCTGACTGATGGGCCACCTCCCAGAAGGAAACATTGGTGTGGGGCCTGAGTACTCCCACTTGGGTGCCCCTCCTCTCCATTTCTGCATCTGCAGAGGTGCCAGGTCTTCATCCTTTGGGCCAGTGGCTGCTGATGCTGTTACCTCTGCTTCCTCCTACCCCTGAATTCTTAGGTCTGGGACTCTCTCCCTCCTCTCAAGAACAAACCCTGTCCCCATAGCGGTCTCCCAGGCTGGAGACTCAGCCCACTAGTGACATCTGAATAGAAGCTGCTCCTAGTGAAGCTAAGTAAGCCCATCTCCCTGGCATATTCTCCATCCCCTGTCCTTCCTCAGTCACTGCCTCTCCTGCTCTTCCGGTTTCCAGGCCCCTAGCTCAGGTACTTCCTGACAACAGAAATGGTCTCTGTTGTCAGTGCCCCTGTTACCATGGACAATGTCCCAGGCTCTCCCTTCTTCCTTCCATATCAAACCAGCAGATTGTCAGGGTTTCAACCTGCTTCTAAAGATGGTCTCATCTCATTCCTAACTGAGTAAGTCTGACATTGTTTTCTTGACAAAAATCTTTGCTTTATCCACAGAGACCTCCAGTTCCCAAAGAAACCACTGCTGTTCATGGAGTGGGGTGCTGCCTAGCTCTCTCTGGCTCCAGGAATGTGTTCTTCCTTTGGCCAAGGCAGCCCCAGTTTGGGGTGTCCACAGAGGCTGGGCCCTGTGGATTTCCTGGCCACCTGACTGCTATCAGCCCCCAATTCATGTAGTGATCTTGGTGACTCTAAACTGGCATATTTATGCCAATACCCAGCATTGTGGTGGCCTAGTTAGCCTACTTCCCATGGACAGAGGAGAGAAAGGGGAGACAAGAAAAAGCTGGTGTGGTCTGTGTGAGACCTTTTCTGGGCCCCAAGCACTATGAGAGCAGAAGCACATGACTGCTGTGTGTTACAGCTGGATGAAGTCAGACTCAGAGATCAAATATGGAATTCATCCCTCTACAATGTATAGTCTACATAATGTCTGCTTCTCCAGCCCATGTCCAAACACTGGGACCCATTCAGTTGGATGCAGACTCTCCAAAGGCCTTGGTGAAAATTTGTAGTTTTTGTCTTTTCTCACAGCCATCTCCACAAAGGCAAGGGGCAACCCGGAGTTCACCACCCATCCTATCTGATAAAAGAGTAATATGCAAATTGCTGTCATTCCAACACACAATATGGCCACCCCCATATGGTTAAAAGTGGCTGCCCCTATGTGGACACAAGATGACCTGCAGGGGAGGGCATTTGGGGCAATCAGGCCTGCAGGGAAGGGTAGCTTGGGGGCAATCAGGCCAGCAGGGGAGGGCAGTTAGGAGTGACAGGGCAAGCAGGGCAGTTGGGGGCAATCAGGCCAGCAGTGGAGCAGTTAGGCATTGATCAGGTTGCAAGGAAGTGGTTCAGAGGTGATTAAGCTGGCAGGCAGGCAAGCGGTTGGGAGCCAGAGTTCTGGATTGTGACAGGGCAGTCGGACATCCCTCAAGGGGTCCCAGATTGGAGATGGTGCAGGCTGGGCTGGGGGACAACCCCTTCCCTTTGCACAAATTTCATGCGCTGGGCCTCTAGTTTTAAATGTTATAATGAACATAAGGGTGTATATATATATTTTGAGTTAGTGTTTTCATTTATTGGAAAACAAAAACACCAAAAAAATAAAACAAAAACAAGTGTGTTGCTGCATCATATGGTAGTTTTATTTTTAATTTTTAAAGGAAATGCCATTGTGTTTTTCATAAGGTCTGCATCACTTTATATTTCTACTACCGTGAACAATGATTCTGTTTTCTTCAGATCCTCATCTATATTTTTGTTTGTTTGTTTTTTGTCTGTCTGATAATAGCCATTCTAACAGGTATTTCTTTTAGAATGTTTTTAGTAGCAGCCTGGGGTTCAGAACATGCAATTTATGCCACTTCACCTGTAGCTCAGGCACCCTATAATAGTATTACTGCTTTCCATGCTTATGACATTGCTGTCATTGTTGCACTTATCTATGTGCTATAATCACCACCTTTTTCAATCAGAGACATCTGGGCTCTCTGTCTGCTGCTGAACTGCCATCTTGGATTTCTCTTCAATGTCTCCAAAGTTGGATTCATTGCCTTCTTATTTTCATGTCTTTCTCATTTCAGTTTGCTTTTCTGTTTTTCTGCAATCCATCCTATTGTAGTTTCCTAAGAGTGAGAGTGTACAATATTCTACATGAAATAAATAAACAAACAAACTAGAATCATACTAGATGACAGAAAAATTTTGCAAGGTATTAATAAATAAAAATTGATGCAGAAAAGCAGTATATGATGCAGAGAAAGTAATGCAATATTATAATGTAATATAATGAAAAAATCTTGCAAGATATGGGTAGATTACAGTTTTAGGTAGAGGGAATTATATGCTTAGGGGAATTTAAGGATGCAGATATATAAGGTTATTAAAATGGATTATGCAAGAGGGTTGAGACAGTGAAGTGGATGAAACAAGCAAAATATGAAAATAAAATAGTGATTTCATAAAACTTTAAGAACACAAATTTTCATTTTTAAAAATTGTATATCTGTATTAGTAAGTATGTAAAGAAAATAAATAAATGTTTAGGAAAAATATTCAAAATGGATGTTTGTAAAGTAAAATTTCTTATTCTTACATGTCTGATTTACTCTAAGGATTGAAAGTCTGGCTCTACAGTCACTGTTACTGAACAGTTGTCTCAAGCTATTCTTGAGATCATTTTCCCTTTGGTGATCAGGCTTTTAATTGTTCTAGAAGCTTTTAAATTCTTCTCTTTGTTCTTTAGTGTTGTAATTTAAAAAATGATGTACCTTAGCTTGTTTTTGTTAAAATACATTTTTCTAAATACCCAGTTGTGCTTTTTGAAAGTCATCTCATTTTACCCCTTAAAGAATTCTCTTGATATATTCCTCCTCTGCCTTTTCTTTGCACAGTTTTTTTTTTTAAGTCCAATTAGGCCGATATTATAACACCTAAGTGAATCCTAACCCTCTTATATTTTCTCTCAAATTTATTACTTTCCCCCTTTTAACCTGTTTAGTTAATTTTCTAGAAAATCTCCTATACTTTATTTTACAAACATTTTAGTAAATATCCAAAAATTAACACATATCTAACCACTATCTCCTTCTTTTTCTGTATACCTTTTTTTTTTTTTTTTTTTTGCATTTGTGGGTACAATATGTATTCTCAAATCTCTCTAAATATATTAGTTTCTAAAAGTGTTCTCTTATTTTCAACAATATCCTTGTCTGTCCTGGGGTATTGTTGAAAATAAGAGAACACTTTTAATATTATCCTTTTAATATTAACCTTTTAATATTATCCCTTCTTTTATTTATTGGTAAATATTCTAAAATTACAGTTGAACTGTAGTTGTACTTACTTAAGAGAAGACTCTAAAGATCAATAAGTATCGATGGAATATTAAAGAAAAAGATGAAAAACTATTGAATAGCTCAATAGTTGCAATTTATAGTATTCAATATCTATCATAAAACTCTCAATGAACTACAAATAAACAGAACTTCCCTTTAAAAATGTACAGAAAATATCATTATGATACTGAATGCTTTTTCTCTGAGATTGGAAACAAGACAAGATTTGATGTTTGCTTCTTTGAGAGAAATGAAAAGATGTACATGGAAAGAGGGTAGAACTTTCCCCTGTATCTTAAATGAAATAGGGCAAGAACCCTTATTTACAGCCGGATGAAGTTTGGCTCATGGGAACAAATATGGAAATCATTGCTCTAGACTCTAGAGTCTAGAGAATGTTGCTTCTCCAGTCCTGTTTCTGAACATTGAGACCTAAAGCATCAAGTCTCTGTACCCTCTTAGAAAGTTGCAGCAGGTGAGGACAGTAGTATTCACAGGCTTTTTTCATGTTTTTGACAAGCCAGGGGACTCCTAGGGGGTCCTGCTCTCCTGGTCTCCAGGTCCCTCCTGTCCCTCCTTGTCCTCCACTCCTGTGGCCACATGTCCTGATGGCTGAGAGAAAACACACTCCCTCCCTCCCCCAGCCCCCACCCCACGGCAGCCCTGGAGCTGCAAGCTGCAAGAGGAGGCAGACAGTATCTGAAAACACTCAAAAAGTTGTTTTCACTTTTCATTTCCTCATTTGGGTGGAGCCCTGGGGGGGAACGTGAGGGGGGGTGTTTACTCACTTCCTGCTCAGGGTTAGGCAGCCACAGTGGACCCAGGCTGGGGAGACTGGAAGGATCAGAGGTCCAGGCAGACCCCAAGGCAGGACGATGGCCAGTGGGGGCAGCGACCTCAGCACCAGGTCAGTCTCTGTCTCCCTTCCTTTAACTTTCTGTCTGGCTGTGCTGCTGCTTTAGTTTGTGTTATTAGACACTTGTCTAAACCTTGATCTCATCCTGCTTTACAAGGACACTGATGTGCAATGTAATGAAATGTAATGAAGTGAAGGAATTAGATCTTTAAACTGCACAGGGACAGCTGCTGGTGTGAGTGCAGCTGCCACAACCCACAGGACTCTTATTTTAAAGCTACTGCTCAGCTGTGGGCCATCTGTACTCGGCTATCGTTTTTGATGCTTTGAGGCAGTGATTTATTATTTTCTTATGACCTTTGAATCCTCTCATTTCCCTCAGCCTCCTATGGCCACCTTAAGATGGCCAGTAAGGGAGGGCAGTTAGGGACAACCTGGCTAGCAGGGGAGAGCAGTTGGGGGTGACCAGGCCCACGGGCAGGCAGGCAGGCAAGCAGTAAGGAGCCAGTAGTCCTAGATTGTGAAAGGGTTGTCCGACAGCTGGATTTGGCTGACTCCTAGGAGTTCAGGCCTAAACCTGCAGTCGGACATCCCCTGCGGGTCCCAGATTGAAGAGAGTGTAGGCAGGGTTGAGGGCCCCCCTCCACTGTGCACAAATTTTGTGTACTGGGCCTCTAGTATTATATAATGTTGTACCTTCTTTTAGTATTTATATCAAAACATTCATTTTCTTATCCTAATACATTATCTAAAGCATATAAATATGTATATTATCATATACAGTGTATGTAAATTGTGGTAATGGTAGGCATCACTGTTTTTTATATGAATAGCCTCATCATTTCAATGGTTACTTTTGTATTTGTCATTTTGGGAGATCTTATATTAGGTCACCTTCCATCAATTTCATGTAATTTTTCTAAAAATTGCTGCTAGGTATTCCCAATTTTTCTTTTCAATTAATTTGTGGATATAACAAATACTCTTTCTGCTTTTGTTTATTTTTTAAAAAATAAATCTTTACTGTTGAAAGTATTACATATGTTCCTTTTTTCTATCATTGCCCTCTCCCACCCATCCCCCAAGCCCTCACCACCCTATTGTTTGTGACTATGGGTTATTTATATATGCATATGAGTTCAGAGGTTGATCTCCCGGGACCAACTGCCCTGTCTTCCATCTGAAATTTGATAGTCTGTTTGATGTTTCTATGTCTCTAGGTTTATCTGTGTTCATTAATTTATGTTATTCATTAGATTCCACAGTGAAATACCACTGAACAATTAGAGGAAAAAATTTCTATTCACCCAACAACATGAATGATGAGCAAAAGAACTCAGATATATAAGCATACATGATATATTATTCCATTTATGAAATCTGTCATAGGCAACAGGAAAGTATGATAATAAAAAGAAGAGCAATGTTTACAATGGATAGGTTGCTTGGCACAAGATGGTTAGGATACAAGTTGAGGGATGAAGGGACATCTCCCCATTCTTCATTTTTCAAATGGCACATCAATGTTTAGCACCATGTCTCCCTTTCAATCTTCACCACCTTCAAGATCCCACAGGGCAAACTGGTTGCCTACAGGGAGCAACCTTTACTTTCAGTAACAATTATTCTCCTCTGACCATTTTTTGTTGAAATCTCTCATTTACACATTGCCCCCTGCCATTCTATTTGTCATTGTGAAGTGTATTTTTTTTAAAATTATCATTTTAGTGGCATTTTAATAAGATAGAAATACAAATGGTTTCTCTCGTGTCTTTAAATAAGAAATTCGTTTTTATAGAATTTGACAAAATAATGTGACATTATTATTCTCTGATGCTGGAAAGAGCCAATAATTTTCTTCTAGTTCCAAAAAGGAAGCTTATGAGTCTTCATGATTTAGGAATACAAAATGCCTATTAAAACATTATTATTAGCCCAGCCGACATGGCTCAGTAGTTGTGCGTCCATTTATGAATCAGAAGGTCAAGGTTCAATTTCTGGTCAGGGCACATGCCTGGGTTTCAGGCTCAATCCCCAGTAAGGGGAGGAGGCAGCCAATTAATAATTCTCACTCATCATTGATGTTTCTGTTTCTCTCTCCCTTGCCCTTTCTCTTTGAAATCAATAAAAATATATTTAAAAAACAAAACATTATTATCAAAGAAATAAAATATTCAACTAAGAAGCAGAATTACAGACTCAGGTTTACAATTACTTTCACAGGAAACAGCAGCCACTTCTGAAATTAAGATGTCTAAAAAGATTCATTTTATACAACAACTAGAGGCCTAGTGCATGACATTCATGCACTCAGGGAAGGGATGGTCCTCTCAGCCCAGTCTGTGCCCTTTAGCATTATGGGAGTCCTTGGGGGAGGCCGAACTTAAGACTTAGGCAGGAGCTGACCTAAGCCATCAGTTGGACATCCTTAGCACTGCTGCAGAGGTGGGAGAGGCTCCAGCTACCACTGCCAGCAGTGAGCCAGGCTTATGGCTGAGTGGCACTCTCCCTATGGGAGTGCTCTATCACCAGGGGGAAGCTCCCTGGTGGTCAGTGCACATAATAGCAACTGGTCATTCCACTATTCAGTATATTTGCATATTACCTTTTTATTATATAGGCTAGCACAGACAGATACATATTAACATAAGCAGAAGTTATAGGAAAAATTATTGATATTCTTATGAAATTTCAGTTTATGCCTCATCATATAATTATTAAACCATATCTAATCATTTATGGACTAGTTTTAAAATTCAGGATGTTATTTCTCTTAACTGATGTATGTCAGGGAGGGAACACCATGTTTTTATCTTTTTGAGATTTATTTTCTCTTAGTTATTAATTAAGATACATTTTTAAGCTTACATTCTGTTTTTATACCATTGTTTCTTATTCCTCTGTGGATAACCTGTTTAGTCCATCTCACTTTTGTACAAGTTAAAACATTTTGATAAAACATTGCAGTATGTTTGTTACAAAATAACTTTACAATGGCTTTGATCATGACATGCTTGCATTCTTTCTAATCTACCATGCTTGATTTTATGATAGTTTTATCTATTGCTTCCATTCTATTTGTTCTAATCTTTATTCAGGACCACTTATTTTAATTATTTTTGTTCTTCATAGCCTATCTATCCTTCATATATATAATGTTACAGCATATCAAAACCTTGATGGCCATTTTCTCATTGTATCCCTTCTCCCTAGGATGTCTGCAGAAGATGGGAACATAGAAAACAAATGTATCAATGACCTTGCACTCACATATTTCAAAAGATATAAGGTGGATATTTCAGACGCAATAAAAACAACATTTCCTTTCCTTGAACTTCTCCGTGACCGCGAATTCATAACCGAAGAAATGTATGAAGTAAGTGAGGTTTATTATGTTACAATCTGATAAAACAACCCTAAACTAAGTTATACTTTGATATCCTGGAATTAAACATCAGAGCATAACTGGGCAACTGAGGAGTTGCCTATGAGTGGAAACCTTCCCAAGTACTGCTATTAAGTGTTGCTATAAGGTCAAAAGAGGGAAGAGAAGCAGTCATTACTAATGGAGATAGTGCTAATTCTAACTGAAGGAATGGTCTACATGGTGCCCCTGGGAGCTGTGAGAATAGCACCGGAGATAGGCTGGATCTGAAGTGGATATACAATGCCTTCTAGAAATTATATATACAGTGTAATATAAACTAGAAGTTAAACATAATATTAATGAACTAGAGGCCTGGTGCACAAAATTCCTACATGGGGGTGTTGTCCCTCAGCCCAGCCTGCACCCTATCCAATCTGGGACCCCTTGAGGGCAGTCGGATATCCCTCTCACAATCCAGGACTGCAGGCTCTCAACTGTTCAACTGCCTGCCTTGCTGATTGCCCCTAACTGCTTCTGGCTGCCAGCTTGATCATCCTCTAACCACTCCCCTGCCAGCCTGATTGATGCCTAACTGCTCCCCTGCCAACTTGGTCACCCCTAACTGCTCTCCCCTGCCAGCCCAGTTGCCCCCAACATCCCTCTTCTGATGGCCTGGTCACCCCTAACTGCCCTCCCCTGCAGGCTTGATCATCCCCAACTGCCCTTCCTTGTAGGCCTGGTCCCTCCCAATTTCCTTCCCCTACTGACCTGATCGCCCAAAACTGCCCTTCCTTTTAGGCCTGGTTCTTCCCAACTGTCCTCCCCTGCTGGCCATCTTGTGGCGGCTGTCTTGTGTCCACATGGGGGCAGCCATTTTGTGTGTTAGAGTGATAGTCAATTTGCATATTACTCTTTTATTAGATAGGATGGATGATTAAGTTGAATGACTTCATTTAATAAAATAATAATTGACATAACATTTCATTTCAGTGACCATCAATTTAAATATTTAGATCTGAGAATATTAAGATCCACAGAGAATTAATGTCTTATTAGGACAAATTTGAAAGTAGATGCTTGCTATTCTTTCAACAAAAGCTTTCAGTTTCCTTTCTGTTTTTTTCCCCCCTTTCTCTTGGTATTTCTGGAGCCTTAGAATTTAGGTTAATTTTAGCAAAAGACATGTGGAGATATAGAGATGCACGGCTTCACTTTCCCTGTGCATAGGCTTTCTTTATGGCAAAGTTCTCAGGAGCTTCCAGGCCAAGTCAGTCCTGGGGAAGGGACAAGGGCTGTCCAGTCAATAGAACAGCAGTTCATCACCCACTAAGTCTATTCCTAAGACATTTAGCCAGTCTCTGAAAGGACTACATATTACTTCACTTGAAACCATTTTTGTTCTTCCTAATGATTCCTTATTCCATCTCATATAAATGAGGGTGAGGAGTTCAGATTCACAAATGGGTGTTTCTAGGAGGAAGGATTTAGTTGTTCTACTTAGTAGCCACACAAATATAGAGAAATTCTAAAACTGTATGTGAGAAGATACCTATGTTGGGAAATCACTATGCATTAACAATAAAATCACTTTCTAGGGCTCTTCTGTAATTTGGAAGTCTGTATTTATGTTTTCTCTATTCACTGTTTTTAAGAAATCTCAAGAATCTTTAAAAAAACGGTTTCCTGTACATGAAGTCATATACGATGTTCTCAGTGAACTGGAGAAGAAATTTGATATGTCTCTTCTGGGAGCGCTGTTCAGCAAGACCATCATGAAGGCTTACCCCGATTTATTTCGCATTTACAAAAAATTCTACAAAGGTAATTAGGTTTATTACCTACAGTTTGATGTCCAGGGCCAATTTATTCCCACAGGTATATATTGAGTGTCTACCATGTGGCACACAAGATGCTGGGTAGTGTGGATGTAGCAGTTAAGAAAAGACATATAATGAGCCTCTCAAAGTTTATGATATAATAGTTAGAATACAAACACCCAGCTGCAAATCTGCTTAACTGGGCATTTAGAGTCACAGGACTACCAGAGCCATAGGGATATAGGATTTACTTAGAAGAACACATGACAAGGAACGTAACATCCCTAAAGGGCAGCATTACTTGCTCCTCTTCTATGGGTCCATTTGCAAAGTTCCACATAGTAGTCCACGAAGTTGTATACAACCTGCCTCAAGTGATGGCTTGGATATGGGTGCTGGATCCACCCTAATTTAGCTATAGCATGCCCAGGGGAATCAATATGTCATGGAACAACTCTGTGGTCATAACTTTTAGAGATTACTCAAGGAACAGTTGAGTTACAACAGTCACCACATTGAAGGAAGACAAAAAATGGACTAGAGTTAACATCTAGTCCCTCCCAGGCCACATGCAATTTACCTACCTACAGTCACTGGTCATTTTTTAACTCTAAGCTCAGTGTTGGTCTATTAACACAGAAGAAAGGCCACCTACATCAGGTTTCCAGAGTAGTGAGCAAGGTCAAATTTCCTCTTGAGGAAGTAGAAATGATCTTATTAACTCATTCTTCACAAAAGATGTGATCAACAACCAAATAATCAAAAAAACCAATTGCTCTGCCTATACAATAATACCGATTTGATTCTCTACTTTTTCCCTGAAGTGGCATGATTTCATATTTTTTATTGGTTCTCAGTAAAGAAGATGTCCTTCAGTAATTTTTGTTAAACCTGCCTAGAAAAAATTTTATTCTATATACTTTTAATCTCAAAAAGATCTCCACATAATGCTGGAGAATTGAAAAGAAAAAATGATATGAACTGAGGAATGTAATGCCACAGGAGCAAGCATAGAGTGTTAAAGAGTCCATGTGTATGCAGAACAAGGACAAATTAGATTAATCTCAGAGTGAGAAGCAGATTGTGGGAGTTTATTCAAATGTGGTAAATATAAAAGAATATTTTGGAGATCTGGCTTCAAATATTAAGCAATTTGATGTTATCTACTACACAGTAAATAGATAGTCCAGATTTATAAGATTAAAAGTATGGGGTTATTGCCACAGGAGGTACCCCTGCCATCAACCCTTAGGCATATTGTCTAACTGCTTCCCTCCATCTCTTCCCCGGGTGCCTCTAGAGACCTGCACCAAGGATTATTGGTGTATTACTTTCCTCCATATGTTTGCTGAGATACCTACATGCAATAGTTCAAGGCTGGTGCTGTGTTCTCCCCTTTTTAGCAGTCTTCCAAGATCCCTGGTCCAGGTATCTTGGGATGTTCGCCTGTGCCATAATATTCAAACCCTGCTTTCATCTTCAAAGAGTGCCCTTTTTTTTTTGTCCTTGGGTCTGGGTGTCTCTGGGACATCTTTCTAGTTGTTCCCACGTTTTATGATTTGTCTCTTTGGGAAGCACTCATCTTCCATGACTCAGTTAAGCCAAAACTTCTCTTGTCCACTCATATTTTTAAAGATTTTGGATTTTATCCTCTTTTATACACATAAACCGCTTTGTTTCTCTCACAAGGAAATCCCTCTCTTTTTCTTTACAGTTAAAACAGTTCAGAAAACAAATTTCAAAATAAATAGTACATCATTTATTTTTATATATGCTTTCCTGGCCAGTTGAAATTTTTTACATGAGTAACAAGCTCATGATGCTGCCACAACTCTTTTATCTTGAAATTCAAGTGACTCTTTACTGTGTGGGAAGCATAAAGGCTCCTTAATAAAGTCATTCACTTTCTGTCCCAGGAATGAAAAGGGAACATTGCCAACAGGATTGGGACCCACTGAGTACTGAGTTACCCAAGGGTTGGAAATTCCTTAATGTGTAATTTCAGATGACTCCTGTCCCATAAAGATATCTAATTATCTTCTTTTCTTGCCCTCTCTTCAGTGATACCAGTTATAAAATTCCTCCTAAAAAGTGATGGAGGAGAAGAATATGAGGAGAGGCCTAATGAACAACTAAGCCTGGAACAAGGTAATTGCAAACAGACAGAAACTGATTCTCCTCTGCTAAGAAGAAAAGAGTATGGAAAGTGGGCCTGAGTCTTGAGTGGAATTTGGGAATCAGGGAAGACCTGTTCAAGAGCATGGAGGGCTGTTTGTATGAGAGTCTGACCAGGGGCTGATCCTGGAGTAGGAGCTCTGACAAGAGATCCTGGGTCCAATAATCAAAACAGAGGAATGGGAACCCAGTGTGTCAGGAAACCAGATTTAAAGACGATGCTGACCTGGAGGTAACTGTGATTTAGAAAGACCCTGCAGCAGAAGATGAATGTGGAGCTGTGAAGGGCTAAGAACTATGGTCCCAGTGTCAACATCACAGAAGATATTCTGGATGATGGTAGAAGGGTCTATTTAAATGTGGGAGATGCTGTTTAAGAGAAGAAATAGTCAATGATATTGGCAGTCATATAGGGAGGGAAGATGGGAAATGGTAAGATGTGTAGGAGGGGATGTGGGTATTTTGAGAGAGAGAAGGAGGGGAAATGGAAGGTAGGAGAAAGGGTTAACAGACACAATAACAACAAGCATATTACTAAGAGCTCACTTACAGATCATTTACTCTGACAGTTGTGGGCTTAGTGATCACAGGTGCTCTTGGGAAGAAGTATCAATCTCTGTCCATTTGCAGAAAAGGAGACTGAAATCTCAGAGGACCAGTATGTAGTTGGCCTGGGGTCAAAGAAGTAAAATGAATCCAGGCTTTCTGAACCTAGAACTTGTGTGCTTAACTCTATACACATCCAGATAACATCATGGAAAAGACAATTATGAGTCAACAGAAGGGAAACGTGCAGAGAGAAAGATACAGAAAGAAGCTGGAGGAAACATAGGAGACGTAAACATTGAATCTCATAAAAAGACCAAGAAGACATAGAAACAGACATGCATATGAAGGGTGTGGTGTGAAGGAGGCTCAGACAAGGAGACATGACTTTGTAGGAAGTCAGATAAGTCTACCAATCAGGGGTATACCTGGCAACAAAAACAGGTTCCCTATCGCCTTGGGTGACAAGAAAAACCATCTCTGGTTACTGAGTAGCTCCTGAATGATCTCAGTGAGATGGCCTGGCTGATGACAGAGGGCAGCTGACTGCATGAGTTGAATAGGATCCTCCAGGTCCAGATAGGCTCTGTATTGATACCTGGGAGAGGGGATCTTGAACTTCAACTTTATAAAGATTAAATTGGATTAGGAAAGAATGGCATAGCCCAAACTTCAACTAATGAAATAAACCTTTCATTTCTTCCCTCAGGAACTGGTGGCAATTCATATCAAAGACCAATGTTGTTAGAGCCAGATGCCCGGAATGACAATGGTCTGTTCCTACTGACTATTTTGTTACCCTTTGTTGTTCTTATCTCATCTGGCAGGTGCTAGGAATTGGGGGCAGGGAGGTTGCTTCTTTTTAGTAATAATTGCCCAGAAAAGTCAGTCTTTGCATTGGCAATTTCTCTAAGGATTTAGATAACAGAGTCTTCATTTTTTTGGTTGCCTTGGAAGGTCGCTCCTTTCATACTCCTGAAATGCACTGGCTTCCAGCTTCTGAGAGCCTAGGTCTGGATGTAATGTCATGCACCTTGCTTCAGTTTTCTGCCTCTGTCTTGCTTGCATCTGGCTGTAGCCTTGCTTTGGCATTACGTCCAGCGGTGGCCAGCACTGCAGCAAGGGTGGTGGGGTAAGGGTGATGAGTGTGTTCTTCCTAGGCCAGGGTCCCTCACACAGGACCATGTGCCTCCAGAGCAAACCTCTCCCATCATCTCTGGGGGAGAAGGCCTGCAGCTGCTCTAAAAACACCATAGAAGTCATTATCATGTAACTTGCATTGGGGTGTGTTAAAGAAAGGATGTTCTAAATTAGTAATACATTTTTATAAAAGAAAAAAAAACACCTTCAGAATGTTTTGAAAACACCACTATAGTTTTAGCTATTAACATTTAGGGGAAAAGTTAATATTTTAGAATATAAAATATCTACCATGCATCAATCCATATTCTTAGCAGTTCACCTACCAAGGTAGCTGGGGGAAAGAGGAGAAGAGGGGCGGGGATGAAAGGAATAATGATAATGAACAGAGAAGGGATTCAGTGTATGTGTGCACAGGAATTAAGTGTGGGGGGAGGAGAAAATGATATGACAACTCTAATGATGCACAACAAACCACCAATAAACAAGTCAAAGTGTCTGACTCAGCAGGGACAGTTGACTGACCCGCACAGGTAAGGGAAAAGCTATGCCTCAGGCCCTTTCCCCAAGAGGAGGTTCCAAGGAACTGTGAACGTGGCACAAAACATGCACCAGGGCCCAGGTACTATGTTAATTGTAGAAATGACTATTGAAATCATCTTTACATAAATCATTTTGCTTAGAAAAATAGCACTAAATGAAAAAAAAAAATCTAAGCTGCTCTGAAAAAAATATCTATCTTTTTATGCAGTAGGACAGGGGAGGTTCACCATGGAAAAGGAGGTATGCTGGTCCTGGGTGATTTCCTTGGGGATTCATTCCTTATGGGTTCCTGCTTCGCTCGCCTTCTATCTTTGGCCACAGACTCTGTGGAATTGTTTGTCATTTCCCTTGCTACTGCTTCTTGCTGAGATCCTAAACTGGGTGATACTAGCAAGAGAGTGGAGGGGGAGGGAGCAAGGGAGAAGCATGGTATTTCTCCATCACAGTCTTGGGCAGCAATTCTGGCATTGGCTACATCTCCCATGACTCTACCTCCCACCAACCAGTCCAGCCATAGTCCAGCTTTCACTTACCCAGTGACCTTGACACATGACCTCACCCTAGATTACTCCCAAAGCTTCCTGTTGACTATTCTGTGGGTTGCCAAATTCCTGCATTTGGAATTGTCAGCTCTACCATCAGGTTAATAACTAATCCCCTGGATTCAATTCCCTCTGATCCAAAAGCTTAGAGAGCTTTGTATTTTCCTGTTAGATTCTGATTGATGCTGGGAGTGACTAAAATATCTATTCATCTAAACGTGGTCTAGATACAGCCGCACCTGAATGTGGACTCTTAGAGAACCGCCATGAGACACAAGAGATAAATACAACTGAAACAGGTACAAACAGTGAAAATAAGGATGCACTAAAAAGCCAACAAGCAAATGAACAATGTGCCCAACAATCGAAGACAGCAGGTGAGAATGGCTGGGTTTGATGAATGTGGAGGGGAAATGATAAGTGGAGGAATTTGGTATTGTGAGGTAAAGCACAGGGAAGACTGTGATGATGATTTGAATGCTAGAAAGTCAAATATAAAGAAAGACAAAATAGATGTAGAAAAGGCATTCACAGTTCACAGGAATAATTAAGAAACAGAAATAGAAAACATAACAGAGACTGGATAAACTGAAAAAACAAAACAAAAAAAAAAAACAAGGAGGGCCACCTGCAAGGAGGATCTCACTCTTAGGACCTTCTTCTGTCCTGGGTACCTACAGTATGTCACCCTAGACCCTAATAGGCTCTGGGGACACTGATAAAAAAATATAGAGAAAAGAAGTAGGAAAGGAGAAAAAATGCAGAGGGCAATAAATAGAAAAATGGGGGGGGGGGAGTGGGAGATACAAAGAGAACTGTGTTGAGAAGGAGTAAAGGACAATGAATGAAGACCTGGTAGGGAGTGAATCTGGTAGAAAATTTGAGAATCATTTGAGAATCACCACAAAGAATGCACAAAGGGATGTTCCTAACACCATTAAGAAGGAAATGTGTCCACAAAATAAAAATGGCCCTGGAACCCACTCAGATAAAAATAGGCCTCTCCCCTGGACAGTAAAACATGTACAATTAAGAGAGGCACAAGGTGCCTGGCATTGCGGCTCAGTAGTTCAACATCAACCCAGGAACTAAGAGATCACCAGTTTCATTCCAAGTCAGGACACATGCCCGGGATGGTTGGATTCCCAATATGTGCAGGAAGGAGAATGTGCAGGAAGCAGCTGATCGATTATATTTCTCTTGTTTCAGTGCTCCTACTTCTCTATCCCTTTCCCTCCCCCTCTCTCTAAAAATCAATAAAGACATTTTTAAAAAAAAGAGACACAAGAAAGGACAGAGTCGAGGGGCAGGAAAGAACAGCGGAGAGGGAGTCTTCCCCTGCAGTGGAACTACAGGGAGAAGGGATTATTGATTGTCGTGAGGGTGCTCACTCCCTTAGGGGAGGCAAATGAAATTCTTTATTTATTACATTTCTTCCAGGAGCAGAGCTACTCCACCATGGAACCCAAACCAATCCCTGCTCTGTAGACCCAGTGGATGTAAAGGAGGAAAAGTCATTTTTATATTCAGGAGTTGAATGTGAAGTCCAAGCAATGACTAACTGTAACCAGGCATCTGACGTAATAGGTAAGGCTGACTGAAAGAATGGGTAATGTGAATCCAAGTACCAGGCAAGGGTCTGGGACATGTCATCAGGGCCCATGGAGACAGTGCTGGTGACCTTGGTTAGAGATAGAAAGAGGAGGAAACAAGTGCCTTATGAATGGAGTTCAGCGGGAAAATGTCCCCAGTAATTTGAAAAAAATATCAAAAACAGGAATGATAAATGTAAATATTGATATCAGAGAGTATATTTCTAATTCAAAGACAGGAACATATTGGGGTAAGAGTTAAAGAAAAAGGAAAAGTTTTGGAGAGATAAGATATTCATGAAAGGACATGCAAAAAAACATACAAACAACATCTAGGAAAGGAATAAAGAGATACCTTTGCCAGAAACAGGCTTATTTAGCAAAATTGAATTGAACCAAGAGACTTTGCTCAGGGTGGTGTGCAATTGATGCAATGTGCGAACCAATAAATTAAATTTAAAATGATGTTAAATAAATAAACATATTAAAATATATCATTTGATGCCACTTTTATAAAGTTAGGCTTTATATATGTATACCTCTCTCTGAAACGTCTTTCTAGTTTAGTGAATATATAGATATGTTTGTAATGATGCAAAGAAAGAAAGAGGTACACTGAGGGTGGAGACAATAGAAAGAGAATGGAGGTAAGAGGTAAAGTGAAAATCTGAGTTAGGTAGAATGTGGATGGGATAGCAGGTTGAGCAAATGGGTAAGGGGTAATAAAGTGCTGCAGGATGGCCAAAGCTGCCCTCTGTGCATGTCTGTCACCACCTTCTGGGTAGGACCTGGAGCAATCTGCAGGTCACACACATCAGGCACAACCAAAGGGACCCTAGTTAACATGGCTTCTAGGTCTTCCTAGTGATCTATGAAGTGTTGCCAACCAGGGGCGATGTGGCCCCACCCCATGATAATAGAGTTTTGGGTTTTTTGTTTTTTTTTACTTTGTTTTGTTTTTGTCTTGTTCTTTTATTCTCATTTTTTTGTAGTGATCAACAGTCAGGACTTTGAAGAATTTACTGGTGGAGATGAGCCTTCCAAAGGATCCACCTTATTATTGAAACGAGAGACAGGTGAGATGGGAGCTCAAGGCTTGGGGTGCAGGAACTTCAATTAAGAGGAACTGTTTTCTGAGGCATCAATTCTCAGTTCATCCTATACCACAGACTCAGTTTATCCTGGAATCCCATTCTCTGTGTTTATTTTACCTGACCTTTGGGATGTGCACTGTAATAAATCATTATATTTATGTTTTAAATTATGTGGCCGATTAATTCATTGGTCCTATAAATCAACCAATGCTCCTATCTATTGCCTCTATAGTAGTAATAGGCTAGCCAAGTAGTGAATTTATATTAAAACTAATTCTGTGATTATAAAGTGTTGTGTTTATACATGGATTTTTACAGAGAGGAGAAAGCTAAGTATTTCTTTATTGGAAGATCATATTGTCATCTAATCACAAAGCATGAATAGTGCTGAGGGTCAATTCCTCCAGCTATCCTGTGTTAGCAGAAATAAATAAGGTGTTTTGAAACCCCAATTGTTATTTTTTAGAAAGTTCTCCAGCAAGTCGTGACATATAGAATGTCTTTACAAAGGATCTTTGCAAATAGTGTTTTACCTTTTTCTTTACAACAACCCTGGGGAGTGAGAAAGATGGCCATTATTACTCTTGTTTCTAGATGAGAAAACAAAATCACACAATTGTTTCAAACCTTCCACAGAGTCTCATGGAGATAAAGGAAAAGGCGAGACTAATTTCCTGGATTCTGTGTTATTTTATTTATTTATTTGTTTGTTTGTTTGTTTGTTTGTTTTTGTAAATCTGGAACTCAAAAACAGTTATCAAAATGTTGTTTTATGTAACATGAGTGGTCATCAGATCTGCAGCACTTTAGTGGACAAAGTGGAGATTGTTTTTCTCTTCCTACTTTCCCAGAGGTGTTAGAAACATGTCTTTTGAGGTAAACCAACTAGGAGAAGAACAAAACACAAATAAAGATGTGACCTAGTCTTGATGTTACAAGACAATATTGTAAATAATACTTTTATTCTAATAGTTCTCTATATCTATCAATGTAAAACGTAAGTTTCCTTCTGTTTATAGAGTGCACATTGTGACTGTGACTTAGTGTAGGCAAAGTGCTCTGAAAAGTGGTCCCCAAATAAGCTCAGACACAAGAGATATTTTCAAGATGCACCAGGGTGTAGAAGAGGCTCCCTACCAACAAGTTTCTCAGCATGAGATTTCCGAGGTCTCCCTGCAAAGAAACAGCAGATGAAGGAAGTGTGAAATGGCAATAGAAGGTTAAGTGGTAGAACAGAGAGAAGTGTAGGAAGGTAAAGTTCAAATGGAGCACAGGGACTTTTTGTGATTGATTTGTCTCTGCTATGGGGACATGAATTAGAGCATCACTAACTTACAAGGCAGGTGACTTAAAGGGACAGATCAGGTGGCCTATGTGCAGGCCATGGTATATATAGGTTTTCAAAAATTTTCAAGTTGTCTTAGGGAACTGCATGGTGCATTGGTTCCCTGGTCACACAGTGAGACACCTAGGAATCCTATTCCTTAGGACTTGATCCCTTAGAGTAACACAGAGAGGAGAGACCCAAGAAGCCACCTGTTCATGACACTAAACTATATCAGATAATATTGTATTTCTGGACAAATATCCAGAGTCTAAATCTGGAGCTCTGTTTTCGTGATGAATCTTTTTCTGAGGTTCTCTACAAGCATTAATACAATTTTAAGCATTTCGCTATTTCAATCCTATTGGTATATAGGAGGAGGAAAGAGACATTATAAGGTTGTTTGACTGGATGAGCGCAATCAATTGATATATGGAAAAAGAAGCAATAATATACTAATAAATAAGTCTTTTTTACTACACACTATCATATACTAATACCAAAGAGTTTATATTCTATAAAGCAGAGTGAGCACAATATTTCACTGTTGACAATAGTGTACTAATATTAAACTTAGAAGTCTTGAAAGTATAATTTGTGCTAACATTAATTACTTCTGAAAAACATGGTTTAGACTAACTACTTTCAAACTTAAATAATATGTAAACGGTAGACTTACATTTTTAGTTATCACATGGATTTTGTGAATAAAAGTTCATTCCTTTTCACATAAACCTTAATAGAGAGACAGGGTTCATAGGTTATCTCAGCATTCATAGTGGGAGGAACTGGAGATGATAATGTTTCAGGGTCATTTACAAATTCACATGGAAAGCAAATGGAAACACTAGGCAGGATCCCAGCATTGGGCACCAGAATTAGGTTCAAGTGAGAGAAAGAGAAATATGATCATGTAAACATTACAATTATCACAAACCCTATCTGCTGTGTGAGTTGTCATAGACTCTGCAAGACCACTGCAAACAAATACTGTTCTCTCTTTTAGAGTTTATGGATTTCAGAAAATCACCTACATCTGGAAAAATAGTTTGTGAAACAGGCAAGAGCAAGCAAATAAGAACTTTTCACTGTGACAAATGAAGCAAATGAAGTGTTTTTGTTTTGTTTTGTTTTGTTTTGTTTTGTTTTGTTTTTTACAAAAGATTCATTCTAATTCTTGCTAGTTTATATAAAATACATTTGTTTTAATATGAGATAGTTCATATTTTCACTTTTGTATTAGTTAGGCTAATGGCTGTGATAAATTAACGTAAAGAGGCCAATCACTCAAACACAATTCAATGTCAATATTTTTATCAAGTAAACTTTCCGAACATTTTTAGAAGTGTGGTGGGGGTAGGGGGCGA